GCCGACGACAATAAACTGAGTTAAGTATATGGGTAGTTTATAGTCTGGTATTATCAAGCCCTGGAAAAGACTGTTTGGTTTATTGTTGTGGCGTGATATGGGTCCTGGATAAATAATCACCTATCACACCAAGGTTCGTGAGAGATGAAACCGAGAAATAGCTTATATTCACAATGAAAGTGTCATGTGTAGTTTACTTATATATGTGGCTGCTTCAACTCGTATGACAGTGTTACAGTGGGGTGTGCAGAGAGGGGTGGTTTGGGGAGCGGAGAGGAGGAGGATTAGGCTACCCGACCGCCCCTGGGGTGTGTGTCAGTGTCAGTGCTTGTCGCTGGAGTCGACGAATGAGGGCTAGTCGATCACTATTAATAATGTGTTATCGTGTCACGACAGTGAATCGTTACTCGTACTATCAACCACTGGTTTACCTGGCACATCGTTACTCGTACTATCAACCACTGGTTTACCTGAACCATCGTTACTCGTACTATCAACCACTGGTTGACCTGGCCATCGTTACTCGTACTATCAACCACTGGTTGACCTGCCCATCGTTACTCGTACTATCAACCACTGGTTTACCTGACACATCGTTACTCGTACTATCAACCACTGGTTTACCTGACACATCGTTACTCGTACTATCAACCACTGGTTTACCTGAACCATCGTTACTCGAACTATCAACCACTGGTTTACCTGGCACATCGCTACTGATAGTCACTGTAGGAATTGAGTAAGTGAATTCTGGCTTTGGGTGTCGAGTGCAGATCGGTGGGGAGTTTCTCCAACGTGAGTGGCTTATAATCTGCCGGTAAACAGGTGAAGTGGTGTGTGATTGTTTAACACTCAACACCTTGCCGACACGCGGCCACACCACTCACTGTACACACACATCGTACACTTGGCATTTCCTTTATTTATATGACTGCAGATATTTATAGACTGGCAATGATAAGTGTCATCCACAACTACTGCTGCTACTGCTACCACCACCACCACCACCACTACTACTACTACTGCTACTATACTACTTTTACTACTAATTCTACTGTTGCTACTACTATTGCTACTACTGCTGCTGTTACTACTACTTCTACCACTGCTTCTAATAATACCACTACTGCAAAGTAATATCGCTACTGTTATAACTACTACTACTACTACTACTACTATTACTACTACTACTACTACTACTACTACTACAGTAGTGATCGTCTAAAATTTGTAAGGTTGTATCGAGGGTTCGTCCTGAGAATGATCCTTGGTTTATCAGTACTAAAACCCTGCCTGTGGGTTGCACTAAAACCCTGCCTGTGGGTTGCACTAAAACCCTGCCCGTTGAGTTCACTAAACCCTGTCTGTGGGTTTCACTAAACCCTGCCTGTGGGTTTCACTAAACCCTGCCTGTGGGTTGCACTAAAACCCTGCCCGTTGAGTTCACTAAACCCTGTCTGTGGGTTTCACTAAACCCTGCCTGTGGGTTTCACTAAACCCTGCCTGTGGGTTGCACTAAAACCCTGCCCGTTGAGTTCACTAAACCCTGTCTGTGGGTTTCACTAAACCCTGTCTGTGGGTTTCACTAAACCCTGCCCGTGGGTTGCACTAAAACCCTGCCCGTGGGTTGCATTAACCCTGCCTGTGGGTTGCATTAAAACCCTGCGTGAGGGTTGCAGCACTAAAACCCTGCCTGAGGGTTGCACTAAAACCCTGCCTGTGGGTTGCACTAAAACCCTGCCCGTTGAGTTCACTAAACCCTGTCTGTGGGTTTCACTAAACCCTGTCTGTGGGTTGCACTAAAACCCTGCCCGTGGGTTGCACTAAATCCCTGCCTGTGGGTTGCACTAAAACCCTGCCTGTGGGTTGCACTAAAACCCTGCCCGTTGATTTCATTAAACCCTGCCCGTGGGTTGCAGTAAAACCGTGAGTAGGGTTCACTAAAACCCTGCCTGTGGGTTTCACTAAAACCGTGAGTAGGGTTCACTAAAACCCTGCCTGTGGGTTTCACTAAAACCGTGAGTAGGGTTCACAAAAACCCTGCCTGTGGGTTGCACTAAAACCGTGAGTAGGGTTCACAAAAACCCTGCCTCTGGGTTTCACTTAATAGGTACCTGGCCTACATCGCTTTGAAGCTCCTCCCACATCAAGATGAAGCCTCGAGGCATGACTGAGATACTGCTTTCCTTCCGCAACACTCCTGTTACAAGCGATATACAGTCTACAGGGATACACAGAAACACCTTACCCCTATTCAGACCCTGTCACCAAAACTATCGGGAAACTCTCAAGCATGTCTAAACAACTTTAGCAAGTCTAGATTTCTTCAGTTGAGTAAAGAGATTCTCTGGGCTCCTTTCCATGAGGTATTAAAAGACAATTAAACAACAAAAAATCTTACAATATGTCCATTTCAGAGACTATTTGTAAGTCTAGCGTGCCTGTATATAGTCTCTCGCAAGGTAGGCACTAGGAAGGTCTATTGAGCGTCGGGTCTGTTTGTTTACAACACAAAGCAGCATGACAATAACCACTCGACAAGACACACACACCACAAGTATCATATTCCACTCGTCGTGCTGATCAAGAAGGCCGCTTGTCCGTGTTAGCAATAACACGGAGTTAGTCACAGAGAACGTATCAAGTATACGGGGGATTTTCGGGATATTTAGACCTGGCTTTACCCAATATTGCTCTATTGACAGGAAGTACAATCCTATACATCCTTCTTGGGCAATAAGTGTAGGGTTCGTGTCAAAAGTATTTTGTATATATACAGAAACTGTAAGTGTAAATACTATATACCTATGTACATTATGATATAACAAAATGCAAGTGATGGAATTTGTAATTTCTTTTGGCTATCAAAGCAGTTCATTTTGCTTCTTTTTTTCATAAACCTAAAACGAATTAAGTGAGTGAGTGAGTGAGTGAGTTGGGTTTAACGCCGCTTTAAACAGTATTCCAGTTATATCGCGGCGTGTCAGCTTAATGTGGGAGGAAAGCCCGAAGTGATGCAGGTCTCAGACGTTTACCACTTCGGTGAAACCCACGAGCACGGGTATGGTGCTGATAAACCTAGAAACATAATCGGGGCGAACCGGGATTCGAACCCACAACCATAGGTTTCTGGCGTGGCCAAGGGACGCAACTCTGCACAGCGAATCGCAGCACCTTAGACGACTGGGCCACCCGTGCCCCCAAAACGAATTAAGCCACGCACACTGACGGACAACTGTTTTCTGATGGCTGATGTGTGAATGGGCGGGGCTTGTGTTGCGTTATTGGGCTGAAGGCACTCGTGACCAACTCGGGTTATTCCGGGACAAGCAGGTTTCGGAAAAGAGGCGAGTGGTGACGAATGGACTGAAGGATGCTATTCATTTCCTCGTGTTTTCTCCGCTCTGTGTGTCAATGATAGGCAGTCTGTGAAGTCACTGTTGACGTATTTATCAGAATTGACTTCAATATGTTTTCGAGTTTATGGCACTCTTTACACCGTGTGCTATAAATGCACAAGATATTGAAGACAATTCTCACGGCAGCCGCGTTTGCGAGGTGAGGTGAGGTGAGGTGAGGTGAGGTGAGGTGGGGGCGAATGGGATTTAAGGTCGCGTCCAAGATTATTGCACTTATATAGCGACGTGCATGCACGTGTGTATGTGGCTGCTTGTACTAGTCCGGACTGATGCCGATTTATAGTGCTAACTCAATGAGATACCATGCCGCAGTTTAACATGAATACCCCACTCAGACACAGTATTCTGACTCCGAGCCGACCAGTCCTTGTTTTAGCCCCTTACTGCCGAGCGCCAGACAGGGTAACAACAAGTACCATCTTTTAACGTCTTTTGGTATGACGCGGCCGGGGATCGAACCTCTGACCACGGAGGTTGTAAGCGCTGACTAATTTAACAAGAAAACAGCGTTATCACTTCCCCACGACATGGGGCACATTAGAATGTTGTTTGTTTATATAGTAGTGAATATAAACTATAAAAAGGTCCTTTCAGTCCTACATGTACGTCATCAGAAAAAAATGATTAAATGTGAAATTAAAACATTTAAAGGTCCCTTCTCCAGAAAAAAAACAAAAAAACTTCGGTAGTTTCTGAGAAAACTTATTCCCATTGCACACACTATGCAACTAGTAAAATAACATGAATCAAGGGCCATAACTCTGTAAAGAAGAAATTTACGGGACTAATTTGTGAACTCTCTTAGATAAGCATGAAAACTTTCATTCTAGACGAGTCAGTAGATTTTGAGAAAACCTGTCCCAATTTCAGTTGAAAAGCACGGAGCAAGGGCCATAACTCTGTAAAACAATAATGCACGACGCCTATTTTCGAAGTCCTTTAAGATTGTGACCAGTCACATTCGTGTGTAAAATTTCATTTCTCTAACTTCAATAGTTTTTGAGAAAAAATGTCCACATTGAGAATCGGAAGGACGGACGTTCCTGTATCCCCGCCCCACTTTGTGGCGGGAGATAATAATCAAATACACGAGATAGTACATTCAGTTAGTTTCGGGGCCTGAAGATTTACCATCTGTATATATTACCTTTGAAATGTAGCCAAAATACAACGTCGGATCAGGGCCTATGATTCGAGACAGTGACTCCGGAGTAAAACACAATTTACTCACTCATGTTGATAAGAATGACGGATAATAATAATCATTATTTATGAGACGCCCCCCTCCAGTGTAGAGGCTGCCGTTGACTTTACCAGCTCTGAACAATAGCTGATTTTCACGGTGTTGAGGAAATAACACACGTCCTTTGCGCCCGACAGCCTTGATTGACTGGCCACTTTGTGCCTTCTGGGAAACATCTCTAGACTGCTCACTCACTCACTCACTCACTCACTCACTCACTCACTCACTCACTCACTCACTCTCTCTCTCTCTCTCTCTCTCTCTCTCTCACTCACTCACTCACTCACTCACTCACTCACTCACTCGGTTCCAGCATAACCATGTATAATCTGTTCCAGTTGGGCGGCAAAGATTGCAAAGGGAGATAATCACTACAGATGGACCGGAAGCTAGACGACTCGCTTCAGATACTCCCGTCATGTACAAGTGAGTAATCGGTGTGTCGTGACTGTTCCTGCCACTGCCTGATTGTCTCCAGTGTTCGTGTCACATGTCACGTGCATCTGTCTGAACACGTTCGGCTATTTCATTCTGGCTGTTACGGAGAGGGGAGAAGGGTGGCCGAAAGATGGCCACACGTTTCAGAGAAAGCCCAAATTCATGACAGTTGGATAGTAAAATGACCGACCATTTGGAGAAAAATAATCATATACCCAGACCGGACACTCAAAGGCTCTCCCGATATATGTTCTCGTTCCATGCGATGTTTAACTGTAGCTATTAATTGTGAAAACGTTTCCATGTCAACGGCGTTCAATTTACATGAAAACAGCGTGATGACAATCGTTCTGCACTGATCTCATTTGCCCACTGTTTTTTTTTAATGTGCTGTTTCGACGTAATTCCATAAAAATAGGATATTTTTTATATCCAAGAAAACTAGTTCATACTCCATGATATACCCAGAAATGTTTTCAGACAATGTTCGAAAGGAAATATATTTATGGACCAACTGTAGCCATGACACGTGAAGATCCGGGATAGAATAGGTCTTCAGCAACCCATGCTTGTTGATAGAGGCGTCTAACGGGATCGGGTGGTCGGGCTCGCTTTATGGGTTGACACATGTCATCGTATCTCAAATGCGTGGATCGATGCCCATGAAGTCAATCACTGGATTGTCTGGTGTAGACTATTTACAGACCGCCGTCATAGCTGAAATGTTGCTGAGTGCGGCATTAAACAACACACAAACAAACAAACAAACAAACTCTACACAAATGAACATGATATTGGTAAAGATTTTTAAAAAATCGTTGTTTTAATTTGCAGGAATAAACAACTGCACTCAATGAGAACGGACTGTACTTGGAGGTTGAGCGGACATTAGCCAGAATATAAATGTCCACCTTCTTCTTATCAGATCTGGGATAGAAAAGGTCTTCAATCCATACTTGCCGTAAAAGGCGACTAACGAGATCGGGTGGTGAGGCGCGCTGACTTGGTTGAAGCATGTCATCGATCCCAATTGCGTGGATCGATTCTCATGATATCAATCACTGGAGTGTCTGGTCCAGACTCGATGACTTACAGACCGCCGTCATATAGCTGGGATATTGCTGAGTGGGTGTAAAACAACAAACCAAACCAAATCTTATCAGATGTTAAAAGACATGACATGTATTTCCCCATCTTTCTTTAACGCATGTCATTCTCCTAGGCCCCAACCTGGTGATAGGCGAGGACTCTGTTAACACGTGGTGCTGCCACCTAGCGGACGACGGAAGACTTGTGAACCAGAACTCACCTAAACTCGTGCATGATGGGAAAGACCACACGTTCTCAAAGCGTTCAGACGGCAGGGGAGACACATATACCTGGTCACGTGACAGAGATAAACGCCCTTTATCTTTCACCAACAATACCCGAAGCACATACAATTTTCCCAGCAGTCCAGGGTTATCTCCCTTCACCACCGGAAGTGATTACAAGCGACTGGTCACGTCATGTAAGAACCACCCGTCAATGCATTTGAGAAGTCGATAATTTACCCTTTTCCTCAATGTTCATAAACATAATCAAAACTTTTACCACTTGTAAACTCATAGTTCAATCTCATTAAAATGAGATCTAAGTTCTCGCTGTTGCTAAACAAAGATCTGAGGACATCCCATTACGGGTCACGTCAGAACGACCTTTCGCGACCTTTGACCAACCACTGAAACGAATAACAAGAAGTCGACATTAGCCAATTTAGAAAGCAGCTTTCTCGAGCTTCACGGCACTCGTTTCAATCTGGCGACTTCCATTTCAGACTACGCTTGAAAAATATGTTGACACATTTCTCATTTAAAATTTTGAAACTGAACAACAGAATGTCCAAGATATGGTTACCATTGTATAGCAGTGCTTCCCACGTACTGTGCAACGCCTCCTCCGTTCAAATGTTTATCCTACGGAATCTGTCGGAATCAATCGTACAGCCGTAACTGTCGTTCGGAATATCCCGTTTTAAAGTTTTCGAGGTTGGATGTTTAGAAAACACATTCCGACTGTCACTTTCATGATCTGGTAAGCGACGCTTTGATTGGTCGAATGAAAGGTCGTTCTGACGTGACCCGTCATGGGATTTCCTCTGATCTTGTTTAGCGATAGCGATAACTAGGATCTGATTTTAATGAGATTGATTCATGGTTTCAACTACAAGTCCAATATCTGATTCAAATGGTGTGGAAAAGAGATAGGAAGAACGGTGTAGTTTTTCAGGTTAACACAGCATGAAAAGTCAGACTTCCTTTTTCCAAAAAACTTTACCCCCCAAAATGCAAAAATTTTGGAAGTGCATTTTGTTCAATTTAGAAAATGTTGAAGACAATTGCAGATTTCGGAAGGTTTCCGGAAGGCATCCAGATGCACATTTTCTCCATGTTTTGTTTGTAGTAAAAGTTACCGTCCTCGTGGACACTAAGAATAGCTTGTCAGCTCTATATATGTGGGAGGAAAGAACAAGATCTTTGGTGAAACTTCCGAACACGTGGTGCTGTCAAACAAGGGTTGGTTGGTTTGTTTGTTGTTTAACGCCGCACTCAGCAATATTTCAGCAATGCGGTCTGTAAATAATCGAGTCTGGACCAGACAATCCAGTGATTAATAACATGCGCATCGATCCACGCAATTGGGATCGATGACATGCATCAACCAAGTCAGCGAGCCTGACCATCCGATCTCGTTAGTTGCCTCTCACGGCAAGCATAGTCGCCTTTTACGGCAAGCATGGGTTGCTGAAGACCTATTCTACCCCGGATCTTCACGGGTCGTCAAACGAGGGTTCACAATCAGGGTGAATATGAGATACGAACCCATGACCAGTGTATTTCTGCACGGTTTATTGCAGCGCCTTAAAACCTCTGGACCTGTAGACCTGTAGGTTGTCTTCTGTAGGCGTGCCTGAATCGTGGGTTCGAATCCAAGTGCTATATGTGCCCGGGCCTCGGCCCATAGCGAGTCGTCAGTAGTGATTGGCTGGTAGTTACTTTGACTTAGCGTTGAGAGGCGGGGCCTTGTCACAAACAAAACTTAAGCTGACTGTGGACAGGCCCGGATGGATTGGGAGTCCGAGCATGACTGATGCAAACCCCACGTTTTATTGCTGAAAGGTTATAGTCTGAGTCTCATACGTCGTCATGACAACAAGAGGGGAGGGAAGTCGGCACCATGCCACAGATGACAGTCCTTAAAAGGACAATGACAATTACACACATTCGTTAAGAGTATGTCATACTCTCTGGGTGCCGTTGTACACAACAACCTTAAGGCTACGACTGTCGTAAGTCTATGTTAAGGTATGGGGGTTACGATCACCTTAGCGCAAAGATCGCTTTGTACAACGGTACCCTGAGGTTCAACAGAGACCATATATGGTCTCTGGGTTCAATGATTAATAATACCATAAACGCCTTTCAGTCAATGAAATTCGAAGATGATTTTAAGCATTTTAAACGATTTGTATTACTTAAACATTCACAATTTCATTTTCCAGCAACGTATCGAGGTCGACAGTCACCACTAGCCGATGTCTTCCGGTACGATGGAGGAATAACCTCACATGACTCCACATCCGGGTATGTTTCGCCGTTGATGACGTCACGACATCGTCCCCCACGACTCAAAATCTACCCAGGAGCCCTTGCGTCGTCCAGTCTCCGCGGCCTTGGTCAGCGTTACTGGCAGGTGGAGGTGACGTGTGACCTCAAAGTTCACCTGTACGGCTTGCCAATATTCGAGGCGGGTGTCGCATTAGCGGAGGCAGTCGACACGAGCGGTCTGGTAGTGGGGCCCGGTCAAACATGGATTCTCAGACTGACCACCTGCTACGACCACCCAGACCACGTGTGTGTCAGGGCTGTCAACGGTTGTCGCCCTTTGTGTCACTTTCCTGTGAAGGAGTGTAGAAAGAACGAGACATTCACACTCAAATATGGCTTTCTTTTGAACTTTGACAGGAGGGAGCTTGTTGTGATAGATCTCGCCAAGATGGATGTGCTGCACGTGTTTGAGAACGTTGACACGTCACGTGACCTGTGGCCCGTGTTTGGCGTGTTCAGCAGACACCGGCATCACGTGCAGCTCCGCCTGGTGTCGGGAAAACAACTGCGGCTTGACAGTGGTGTGTCGACCATCATATCCAAGATGGTGGACAGGCAGGCGCATGCGCATACAGGAAACTCTCCTTCCCCAGCCAGCTTTCGCGACTCCGTATATTCAAAAGCCACATAACAACGGCATATATGAGCTGTATAGATTTGTTTGTTTGTTGCTTAACCCCGCACTATATTCCGGCTGTATGACGGCTGTCTGTAAATATTCGACCCGTGAAGATCCGAGTCGAGAATAGGCTTTAAGCAACCCATGCTTGCCCTAAAAGGCGACTATGCTTGTCGTAATAGGCGACTAACATGATCGGGTGGTCAGGCTCGCTGACTTGGTTGAGGCATGTCATCGTATCCAAATTGAGTGGATCGATGCTCATATCAATCACTTGATTGTCTGGTCCAGACTCGAATATTTCAAGACCGCCGTCATATAACTGGAATATTGCTGCGTGCGGCGTTCAGCAAGCACTCAAGCCTAGTTACTTCTGTATAGATTGTAAACCAACAATCTTATTGAAAATATGAAGTAAATTAGTTCTGATATATAAACAAATATGTTTCTCTGGCACATTTATTGAGGTGGGACGTAGGACGTTTATTTTTTTGTTTAATGAAATCAAAAGTGTTGCGAGAGGAACACCAAAAAAAAAAAAAAGAAACAAAAAAGAAAAATGAATACCAACAAACAAAACTGTGCACCCAGTGAACTCGGCCCATTAACAACATGTCATGTAAACCATGCATAAACCAGAAAGTATGCATCCAGTAAAATTCTTGATGGGCAGGATTTAAAACGACTCGTCAATGCCCGAGAAACATCTTCGTCTTGCACGACGACGTATACGTACGTGTACTGACACAGCGATAGCCTAGCAGACAAGCAGATACTGATTTCATAATAGGCCTCGTTATGAATCGTTATGCTTGTACTGAGGTCTATTGATCTATTTCAAATATTATTAAATAAGGTTTGTTCTTTCATTGTAGAAATCATGTTATTTATTTTGTTTGCAATTAGAGTATTGCTTCATTTCTCTTACTTTGTTTTATTTCATGGGGGTGGGATTTGGTGTAGTTGATATTGCCAGACCCACCTTTGAGTCAGATTGACTAACTGGCGACAAAAGTGTACAGTTTCATTGTTAAAAGGCATTGTGCTCTAAATGACGTCATACACGCATGACGTCATGATTATGTGACGTCATAAAGGGCTGCTGTATGGTTGTTATTGTGATTCCTTCTTGGGCATCCGCTGTATTTCTTACATTAAATAAGCCCCTGAACACAGTAGGCCTTTGTTTTGTCTGTCGGCGTGTTATTTTATACCACATCACCTATGCTGCAGGGCAAAAGAAAGTAAACACGTGTTTTAGTAAATCGTTGACCTCTGTTGCCTAAAACGACCCATTGACCCTTCTGGAGATATCGGAGACTATAAGTAATGTATAGCTTCAGTAAGCTTTCATATGAAAGAAACTCGAATAAAATCGGACAGGTCATTATGAAGATACGGGACTTTGCCAAATGTCGAAAAAGAGTCATTTCCCTTGGTTTATTGGCTTTTTAAGTACAAAACTGCTGGGCGAAAGAAAGTATACACTTGAAAATTGTACTACGAACGTTATCAAAGCGTTACTAGGCTAAAATTAGTTGTGCGTTTTATTTCTAGCCATCATAAAACACGGGTGTATACTTTATTTTGCCCTGCAGTTTTATTCCAACAACAATGCGGTGAGTCCCATCAAGATCCGGGCTAGAATAGGTCTTCAGCAACCCATGCTTGTCGTAAGTCCCATCAAGATCCGGGCTAGAATAGGTCTTCAGCAACCCATGCTTGTCGTAAGTCCCATCAAGATCCGGGGTAGAATAGGTCTTCAGCAACCCATGTTTGTCGTAAGAGGCGACTAACGGGTTCGGGTGGTCAGACTCGCTGGCTAGGTTGATGCATGTCATCGATCCCAGTTACGTAGATCAATGCTCATGATGTCAATCACTGGATTGTCTGGTCCAGACTCGAATATTTAAGGATCCTGTTATATAGCTGGAATACTAGTGAGGAAGGCATTAAGCAACAAAGAAAATCAAAACATTACGATGACCGGTAAATTATATAGTTTGGGCTTGACAAACTGGTGGCTGATATCATGAGCAACGTACAAGCCCACGCAACTATTGTACCGACCCTGACCACCCTGTCCATTTTAGTCGCCGCTTTCGTCATTGGCCCCTTACACTAATAAGAGTGGTTACTGCACTTATATAGCGACGTGCAGGCACGTTGTGTAGGTTTGTGTGACTACCGGTTGTATAGTGCTAGCCCACTGAGATACCATGCCTCAGATTAACAAGAATACCCCACTCAGACACACTATACTGACTCCGAGCCGACCAGTCCTTGTTTTATCCCCTTAATGATGAGCGTCAGGCTGGGAAACAACAAGTATCATCTCTTAACGTCTTTGGGTATAACGCGGCCCGTGTCCGAACTACTAGGAGTGAGTGAGTATGGTTTTACGCCGCTTTTAGCAATATTCCAGCAATATCATGGCGGGGACACCAGAAATGGGCATCACACAGTGTACTCATGTCGGGAATCGAACCGGGTCTTCGGCGTGACGAGCGAACGCTTTAACCACTAGGCTACCCGCCCGTCCCCCGAACTACTGACCTTCCGCTCTCCGGGCAGACGCTCTATCTACTAGACCTCGGGGAGACGCTCTGTCTACTAGACCTCGGGGAGACGCTCTGTCTACTAGACCTCGGGGAGACGCTCTATCTACTAGACCTCGGGCAGACGCTCTATCTACTAGACCTCGGGGAGACGCTCTATCTACTAGACCTCGGGGAAAACAACATTCAGCATTACGATTATTTATTTAACCAACACATTATGTACATTAAACTACGCTTATAACGAACTTCCGGATATAACGAACTGTTTCTTAGTTCAGTCAATTTTTTCTATATTTGTTGTCCATATGCTTATAACGAAACGGTTATAACGAATTAAAATTAGTGGTCCCTTTGAGTTCGTTATAACCGTAGTTTACTGTATTGTAATAACAGATAAACTAAAAACGATTGCTCGTTTCTCAGATGACCATGTTCCAATGTTCTCGTAGGTTATCTAGCTAGCCAATTATCGCCTTTCCCGCGAACGGGACGCCCTCTATCGGCGTCAGGTGAGGTCCGTTGTTACAGTTGTCTCCCTTACAGCAGAAGGAGCACGTGATCGCATAACCTGACACCTGGTGGTCAATGCCACGACAACGAGGCTGTGCCTGGGTGGATGAATAACTTTGCTGACACTGTGGTAGTGACGCACACCTGGAAACAGAGTCAGGAGAGCAAATAAAAAATAAAAAAAGATGTTGTTTTTTGTCTTAGTGTTAAAAGGGGACACGGGTGGCCCAGTCGTCTAGGACCCTGCGATTCGCTGTGCAGAATTGCGTCCCTTGGCCAGGCCAGAAACCTATGATTGTGGGTTTGAATCCCGGTTCGCCCCAATTATGTTTCTAGGTTTGTCAGCACCATACCCGTGCTCGTGGGTTTCACCGAAGTGGTAAACGTCTGAGACCTGCATCACTTCGGGCCTACCTCCCACATTAAGCTGACACGCCGCGATATAACTGGAATACTGTAAAAAGCGGCGTTAAACCCAACTCACTCACTCACTTAGTGTTAAAACGTTGATTACCAGCGCTACAAACCTGTTCTCCAAGGCGCCGCAAATTCATTGTGCACAGTTGCCTCCCTTGGGCACACCAGAAACCTATAATTGTGGGTTCGCCCCGATTACGTTTCTAGGTATGTCAGCACCATACCCGTGCTCGTATGTTCCACCAAAGTTGTAAGCGTTTGAGACCCGCATCACTTCGGAAAACTTGTCGATAAAAAGGTGTGAAGGGGGAGGGCGCCCCCCAGGAACAGCCAGCCCAACCCCCATCTCCTTGAGCCCGGCCCCCATCTCCTTGAGCCCGGCCCCAATCTCCTTGAGCCCGGCCCCCATCGCCTTGAGCCCAGCCCCCATCGCCTTGAGCCTGGCCCCCATCTCCTTGAGCCAAGCCCCAATCGCCTTGAGCCCAGCCCCCACCTCCTTGAGCCCGGCCCCCATCGCCTTGAGCCCAGCCCCCATCGCCTTGAGCCTGGCCCCCCATCTCCTTGAGCCCGACCCCCATCTCCTTGAGACCGGCCCCAATCTCCTTGAGCATGACCCCCATCTCCTCCCATCTCCTTGAGCCCGGCCCCAATCTCCTTGACCCCGGCCCCCATCTCCTTGACCCCGACCCCCATCTCCTTGAGCCCGACCCCCATCTCCTTGAGACCGGCCCCAATCTCCTTGAGCATGACCCCCATCTCCTCCCATCTCCTTGAGCCCGGCCCCAATCTCCTTGACCCCGGCCCCCATCTCCTTGACCCCGACCCCCATCTCCTTGAGCCCGACCCCCATCTCCTTGAGCCTGCCCCCCATCTCCTTCAGCCCGACCCCCATCTCCTTGAGCCCGGCCCCCATCTCCTTCAGCCCGACCCCCATCTCCTTGAGTCCGACCCCCATCTCCTTCAGCCCGACCCCCATCTCCTTCAGCCCGGCCCCCATCTCCTTGAGCCCGACCCCCATCTCCTTGAGTCCGACCCCCATCTCCTTGAGCCCGACCCCCATCTCCTTGAGCCCGGCCCCCATCTCCTCCAATCTCCTTGAGCCCGACCCCCATCTCCTTGAGCCCGGCCCACATCTCCTCCAATCTCCTTGAGCCCGGCCCCCATCTTCTTGAGCCCGGCCCCCATCTCCTTGAGCCCGGCCCCCATCTCCTCCCATTTCCTTGAGTCCGACCCCCATCTCCTTGAGCCCGGCCCCCATCTCCTTGAGCCCGGCCCCCATCTCCTCCAATCTCCTTGAACCCGGCCCCCATCTTCTTGAGCCTGGCCCCCATCTCCTTGAGCCCAACCCCCATCTCCTTGAGCCCGGCCCCCATCTCCTCCAATCTCCTTGAGCCCGGCCCCCATCTTCTTGAGCCCGGCCCCCATCTTCTTGAGCCCGGCCCCCATCTTCTTGAGCCCGGCCCCCATCTCCTCCCATCTCCTTGAGTCCGACCCCCATCTCCTCCAATCTCCTTGAGCCCGACCCCCATCTCCTCCAATCTCCTTGAGTCCGGCCCCCATCTTCTTGAGCCCGGCCCCCATCTTCTTGAGCCCGGCCCCAATCTCCTCCAATCTCCTTGAGCCCGGCCCCCATCACCTCCCATCTCCTTGAGCCCGGCCCCCATCTCCTCCCATCTCCTTGAGCCTGGCCCCCATCTCCTCCCATCTCCTTGAGTCCGACCCCCATCTCCTCCCATCTCCTTGCAGCCGGCCCCCATCTTCTTGAGCCCGGCCCCCGTCTCCTTGAGCCTGGCCCCTATCTCCTCCCATCTCCTTGAGCCCGGCCCCCATCTCCTCCAATCTCCTTGAGCCCGGCCCCCATCTTCTTGAGCCCGGCCCCCATCTTCTTGAGCCCGGCCCCCATCTCCTTGTGCCTGGCCCCTATCTCCTCCCATCTCCTTGAGCCCGGCCCCCATCTTCTTGAGCCTGGCCCCCATCTCCTTGCAGCCGACCGCCATCTCATTGAGCCCGACCCCCATCTCCTCCAATCTCCTTGAGCCCGGCCCCCATCTCCTCCAATCTCCTTGAGCCCGGCCCCCATCTCCTCCAATCTCCTTGAGGCCGACCCCCATCTCCTCCAATCTCCTTGAGCCTGGCCCCTATCTCCTCCCATCTCCTTGAGCCTGGCCCCCATCTCCTTGAGCCTGGCCTCCATCTCCTTGCAGCCGACCGCCATCTCCTTGAGCCCGGCCCCCATCTCCTCCAATCTCCTTGAGCCCGGCCCCCATCTCCTCCAATCTCCTTGAGCCCGGCCCCCATCTCCTCCAATCTCCTTGAGCCCGGCCCCCATCTCCTTGAGCCTGGCCTCCATCTTCTTGAGCCCGGCCCCCATCTTCTTGAGCCCGGCCCCCATCTCCTCCAATCTCCTTGAGCCCGGCCCCCATCTTCTTGAGCCCGGCCCCCATCTCCTTGAGCCTGGCCCCTATCTCCTCCCATCTCCTTGAGGCCGACCCCAATCTCCTTGAGCCCGACCCCCATCTCCTCCAATCTCCTTGAGCCCGGCCCCCATCTCCTTGAGCCCGGCCCCCATCTCCTCCAATCTCCTTGAGCCCGGCCCCCATCTCCTTGAGCCTGACCCCCATCTCCTTGCAGCCGGCCCCCATCTCCTTGAGACCGGCCCCCATCTCCTTGCCCGTACGGGTCAAATACTTACAGGCATCAAGAATGGTCCCCGAATGGTGAGAGTCGTGACAAATGGCAACGTACTGTACACGAGATGCCCCCCTTTCACCAACACAAATAATTTTGCTGATGTCACTTCATACTCTGGAAGTTCTATGACTAGATTAAGGGTCCTCTGAAAACACTATCACACAACACTATCAACTCGACTCCCCTTACATTAGCATTACTTGCTAAAACTACGTAGCGCCATGAGCATTAACTTGGTTAATGGAATCTGGCGCAGTATAAATGGACTTCGTGATATGATCAGGTAAGTTAAAGTTCCAATACGCTGCGCATTTTCTCCTACCCTTTGACGATGTTCCTGTTGCCGGTGCTGTGGTCGGTGACTGTTGAGATGCAGTAGGTGTCGTTGCCGACGCAGGCGGAGCTCACGGGAGAAGTGTAGCAGTCGAGATCAGTGCAGTGGATACACACGACTGTGATAAGTAAAGGCAACGTGTCAGTGCGGGTGTTCGAGAAGGGAGATAATCCGTGTCAGTGCGGGTGTTCGAGAAGGGGAGATAATCCGTGTCAGTGCGGGTGTTCGAGAAGGGAGATAATCCGTGTCAGTGCGGGTGTTCGAGAAGGGGAGATAATCCGTGTCAGTGCGGGTGTTCGAGAAGGGGAGATAATCCGTTTCAGTGCGGGTGTTCGAGAAGGGAAGATAATCCGTGTCAGTGCGGGTGTTCGAGAAGGGGAGATAATCCGTGTTGGTGCGGGTGTTCGAGAAGGGGAGATAATCCGTGTTAGTGCGGGTGTTCGAGAAGGGGAGATAATCCGTGTTGGTGCGGGTGTTCGAGAAGGGGAGATAATCCGTGTTAGTGCGGGTGTTCGAGAAGAGGAGATAATCAGTGTCAGTGCGGGTGTTCAAGAAGGGAGATAATCCGTGTTAGTGCGGGTGTTCGAGAAGGGGAGATAATCCGTGTTAGTGCGGGTGTTCGAGAAGGGGATATAATCCGTGTCAGTGCGGGCGTTCGAGAAGGGGAGATAATCCGCGGGTGTATGCCTTGGCCTTGTCTGTTTGTCTGTCTGTATGTCTCCATTTGTGTGCCTGTGTCTGTCCGTGAATGTCTGCTTCTCTGCCAGTGTCTGACTATGGACGTCTGCTTGTCTCTCTCCACTGTCTGTCTGTCTCCACTCTCCGTCTATGTCTGTGTCTGTCTGTGCCTGCGTATGAATGTCTGCGTGTCTGTCTCCACTCTCCGTCTATGTCTGTGTCTGTCTGTGCCTGCGTATGAATGTCTGCGTGTCTGTCTGACTCCACTCTCCGTCTATGTCTGTGTCTGTCTGTGCCTGCCTATGAATGTCCGCGTGTCTGTCTGTCTCCACTCTCCGTCTATGTCTGTGTCTGTCTGTGCCTGCCTATGTATGTCTGCGTGTCTGTCTGTCTCCGCTCTCCGTCTATGTCTGTGTCTGTCTGTGCCTGCCTATGTATGTCTGCGTGTCTGTCTGTCTCCGCTCTCCGTCTATGTCTGTGTCTGTCTGTGTCTGCCTATGTATGTCTGCGTGTCTGTCTGACTCCACTCTCCGTCTATGTCTGTGTCTGTCTGTGCCTGCCTATGAATGTCTGCGTGTCTGTCTGTCTCCACTCTCCGTCTATGTCTGTGTCTGTCTGTGCCTGCCTATGAATGTCTGCGTGGCTGACTCCACTCTCCGTCTATGTCTGTGTCTGTCTGTCTCCACTCTCCGTCTATGTCTGTGTCTGTCTGTGCCAGCCTATGAATGTCTGCGTGTCTGTCTGACTCCACTCTCCGTCTATGTCTGTGTCTGTCTGTGCCTGCGTATGTATGTCTGCGTGGCTGTCTCCACTCTCCGTCTATGTCTGTGTCTGTCGGTGCCTGCGTATGAATGTCTGCGTGTCTGTCTCCACTCTCCGTCTATGTCTGTGTCTGTCTGTGCCTGCGTATGAATGTCTACGTGTCTGACTCCACTCTCCGTCTATGTCTGTGTCTGTCCGTGCCTGCCTATGAATGTCTACGTGTCTGTCTCCACTCTCCGTCTATGTCTGTGTCTGTCTGTGCCTGCCTATGAATGTCTGCGTGTCTGTCTGACTCCACTCTCCGTCTATGTCTGTGTCTGTCTGTGCCTGCCTATGAATGTCCGCGTGTCTGTCTGTTTCCACTCTCCGTCTATATCTGTGTCTGTCTGTGCCAGCCTATGTATGTCTGCGTGTCTGTCTGACTCCACTCTCCGTCTATGTCTGTGTCTGTCTGTGCTTGCCTATGTATGTCTGCGTGTCTGTCCGCCCCCACTCTCCGTCTATATCTGTGTCTGTCTGTGCCTGCCTATGTATGTCTGCGTGGCTGTCTCCACTCTCCGTCTATGTCTGTGTCTGTCTGTGCCTGCCTATGAATGTCTGCGTGTCTGTCTGACTCCACTCTCCGTCTATATCTGTGTCTGTCTGTACCTGCCTATGAATGTCTGCGTGTCTGTCTGACTCCACTCTCCGTCTATGTCTGTGTCTGTCTGTACCTGCCTATGAATGTCTGCGTGTCTGTCTGTCACCACTCTCCGTCTTTGTCTGTGTCTGTCTGTGTCTGCCTATGAATGTCTGCGTGTCTGTCTGACTCCACTCTCCGTCTATGTCTGTGTCTGTCTGTACCTGCCTATGAATGTCTGCGTGTCTGTCTGACTCCACTCTCCGTCTATGTCTGTGTCTGTCTGTACCTGCCTATGAATGTCTGCGTGTCTGTCTGTCTCCACTCTCCGTCTATGTCTGTGTCTGTCTGTGCCTGCCTATGTATGTCTGCGTGGCTGTCTCCACTCTCCGTCTATGTCTGTGTCTGTCTGTGCCTGCCTATGAATGTCTGCGTGTCTGTCTGACGCCACTCTCCGTCTATATCTGTGTCTGTCTGTGCCTGCCTATGAATGTCTGCGTGGCTGTCTCCACTGTCTCCGATGATTTACCGATGTACGTTTTGAAGTATGTATTGATGTATTAATCAATTTATTGATTTACCGATGTAGGTATTGATGTATGTATTGATGTATGTTTTGATGTATTGATCAATTTATTGATTTACCGACATGTGTATTGAAGTATGTATTGAAGTATGTATTGAAGTATGTATTGAAGTATGTATTGAAGTATGTATTGAAGTATGTATTGAAGTATGTATTGAAGTATGTATTGATATATTGAGTGATGTATTGCTTGCTTTATTGATTGTTTGATTTCCCCTACTGTTGCTATTATCAGCTAGATTGACAGACAGACCTGGTTTGGGTGTGGTGGCCCTTGTTGTAGCTTTCGTTACTGCCGCAGCACGTGCGTGAACATCCACACTGACATCCGGGGTCTTTTGGGCGATGAAACACACCAGCAGCACACCTGGAGATACGAGAAAACTCACAATTAGTTCAGCGTTACACCTACAAGTGTGACCAGTACATCCGAGTGAATGAAGGAGTTAGACTGTAACAGTTCTCATGTTTCTCACTGTCAGTATCTACGTGAACCCACTGGCGCACCCAGGGGTTTAAAATGGGGTGGGTGGTGTTAGAGCAGGGTCCTTCCTTCCTTCCTTCCTTCTTGACTGACTTACTATTATAGGGGGGCACGGGTGGCCCAGTCGTCTGAGACGCCGCGATTCGCTGTGCAGAGATGCGTCCCTTGGGCACGCCAGAAACCTATGATTGTGGGTTCGAATCCCGGTTCGCCCCGATTATGTTTCTAGGTTTGTCAGCACCATACCCGTGCTCGTGGGTTTCACCGAAGTGGTAAACGTCTGAGACCTGCATCACTTCGGGCTTTCCTCCCACATTAAGCTGACACGCCGTGATATAACTGGAATACTGTTAAAAGCGGCGTTAAACACAACTCACACACACACACATACTATTATAGATTTCATGCGTTTTCCGACACTATGCGTATTTCGCACAAAGAGCTATGGTCCCCTTTAGCTTTGCTTTAATAACAAACACGTGTGTGCTGCGCCCCCTGCCGGTAAACGAACACTCACCTGCCACACACACAGCCGACACAACAGCCAACACAACATTCGACGCCATTTTGAAAGTGCCAAGAGGCCTCCAAGTCACGCGGTGCGGAAGTCGTCATCCTCAACGTGTCTCTTGAAACCGTAAGAAAAACGGGCACTATTAATTAATAGTAATTGTAGTCTATGTGATATACTTATGGGTTTGAAGTATGTTAGGGATGTAAATGTTGGTTCCTTGTGTCCCCGTTGTGACACAGACTTTGATAAAATGACATTTGTGGTTCCGACTCGAATACCAACTGTATTCTCCCACGGCCTTATCAGTTCCAACATGTGCGGCCCCGAATATACAATCATACTTACCTTATCTCTATGCTACAGCATTGCTTGACAACGGCATAAGGATCTATACCGAAACGTCGCCTTTACAGTCTTAAATCTGGTGTCCCCCGACGTGATATTGCTGGAATATTGCTAAAAGCGGCGTAAGAGCATACTCACTCACTCACTTACAGTGTTATAGAAGTTATCCATAACTTGTGTCTACTTTGTCATCCGTCAACATCTAAGCAATGCCCATCAAACAATTCATTGTGCTACCGAACAATAATCGGATGACACTTGATTAAGAAGACGATGTGTAAATATTAAGGCTGATTTTCAGGGATTTTTATACGTTTTTTCACGGCTGTTTTGTCTTTTACTCCCATCTGTTTTGGTGGATAATCGACGCTGGTTATAAACTGGCCTTTCCATTTTATTTTATGTGATAAATTAACCCATTCTCTGCCACTTCAACTAGAAATAACAGTGAAACAAACATTATCTGCTTCATATTTCGATTTCACATAACGCTTCAGAGTGACAAAATACGACTCTCCACAAGACTGTACGACAAGACTGTACGACAAGACTGCACGACAAGACTGTACGACAAGACTGTACGACAAGACTGCACGACAAGACTGCACGACAAGACTGTACGACAAGACTGTACGACAAGACTGCACGACAAGACTGTACGACAAGACTGTACGACAAGACTGCACGACAAGAGGGATGACTTCATCTTTCAAACAGTCCCTTCATGTCGAGCAGTATTCCAGCAGCTCCAGCCTTTGGTGTCTACATGTCATAGCTCGGAGGTACAATCCAGCATGCTCTTTGTACGAAGATTTTAAAGAGCGTCATGCGACTCTTGCTTAAAAGTTGTTTGATCAGGGCTACAACATTCAAGGCCTCAGTAAATCTTTCAACCATTTTCGTGGCAGATGTGTGGAGGGCAGTTCCACATTTGACAAATCGGTGGCAAAAATTCCTGATGCTGTTCCCCATTTTGACTTGTACCATATGTTCAAGTGTTTTTTTTTGTGGAACAATTTTCTTGCCTTTGCATGTGTTTGTGACTGGTTTCATCGGTGGGGCAGAGTACACTCACCTTTTTGCAAACGCTTGGTATCATCACAACTTTATAGTCATTCATAAGCACAAATTATTGACATTGTCGAAATCGTACAATATACTCATTATTATGGAAATGATTTTTGTTGCTTTTATTTATGTAGCGGCCATAAAATTTCCGAGTCCCTTGATGGTATTCGAACCACGGACCTTCTGATCAGAGGTCGGACGCCTTGTCCACATGACCAAAGAGGATAAACCGTCAGCAAGCTGACAAGGTAAGGATGTCATCTGTGGGATGACTCCACGCCCTGCTACATACTCCCCCGTCAACAGAAGGCACGTCCCGGGCCGCATAGTAGGGTACTGAGGCTTCTTTTGCTCAAATTTAATATGAACGTGCTCAGCCCCACGTTGGGCGCCAATGTAGCGGCCATAAAATTTCCGAGTCCCGTGATGGGATTCGAACCACGGACCTTCTGATCAGAGGTCGGACGCCTTGTCCACATGACCAAAGAGGATAACCCCGTCAGCAAGCTGACAAGGTAAGGACGTCATCTGTGGGATGACTCCACGCCCTGCTACATATACAATATCTTTGCTGGCACTCATCCCAGAACAGGCGTGTAGAGACTCGAACCCAGGTCTTCGCCGTGACAAGACAACGCTCTAACATCCACCCCACTGTCCTCGCCTTTCGGGGTGTGAGGGAGTTGGCAATATTCCAGCTCTATCACGGCGGGGGACACCAGAATTGTCTTCACACATTGTAACCATGTGAAGAGTCGAACCCGGGTCTTCGGCGTGACGACCGAACGCTTTAACCACTGGACTACTCCATCGACCCCCTCCTCCTTTCAGTGGTCTCAATCAATCGATATATCTCACTTGTCATGAGGGGGCAAGAGTGGCTCAGGCGTCTAAGGCGCGCGATTCGCTGTGCAGAGTTGCGTCCCTTGGGCACGCCAGAAACCTATGATTGTGGGTTCGAATCCCGGTTCGCCCCGATTATGTTTCTAGGTTTGTCAGCACCATACCCGTGCTCGTGGGTTTCACGGAAGTGGTAAACGCCTAAGACCTGCATCACTTCGGGTTTTCCTCCCACATTAAGCTGACACGCCGCGATGTAACTGGAATACTGTTAAAAGTGGCGTTAACCCCAACTCACTCACTCACTCACTTGTCATGAACACAATAGTAACGGAAATAACTTGATCATGATTTATTCTGATCTATTTAGTTTTCATGATGTCAAAGCCAGATCTACACGAATATGCAAGCATTTATATGTAGGTAGTTACATAAACAATAGGAACTTCTAATAATGTTTGATCAAATTAAACCATGTTTATTTCGGGTTTAAGCCATAGGCCCTTGCATACTACAGTACATCATAATCATGAATAAAAAAGCGTAACACAAATTCAAGATAAATACCTAACGAACAATTTTCTAATCGTGATTTACATTTGCAATTTAATAGTTTTAAATGCATGCACAATTACACGAACAAATAGTTATGTGACCATTGCCTAATGCCAGGGTGTCATTGATTTGGAAGACACCAGGTGTTCAAGAACGCGAGGATGATGCACAGCACGACGACTGTCAGAGCACTCTGCAACGGCCGACTCCCAGATACATCTTTGATCATGTGACTGACACGTGACCATGTGCCATTGTGAGAACGAGGCTTGATGTTGAGGATGTTACACATGATCTGGTACAGGTCGACGTTGGGGAGCTTCTCTGACGTCATACCTGGGACAAAGCCTGACAACAACACGGACATGATAAGCTAGAGCTCTTTGTTTACTAACACGTTCTAATAATGTCTTGCCATCCCAGTAGTTCAATAATAACTTGCCAGTTTTGAGATCCTAATATATTTTGGAACAGAACTTTTGATACGTCATTTTCCGACACAATTGTTTGCTGTGTGAGTGGCGGGTGCTACTGGGAAACAACCGGCGTCATCACAGGTTTTAAGTGAGTGAGTGAGTTTGGTTTTACGCCGGTTTTAGCAATATTCCAGCAATATCACGACGGGGGACACCAGAAATGGGCTTCAGACATTGTCCCCATGTCGGGAATCGAACCCAGGTCTTCGGCGTGACGGGCGAACGCTTTAACCACTAGGCTACCCGACCACCCCACAGGTTGTAAGTGATTCATTCCTATAATTTACAATGCTATTTTGCCTTTTTCGCCCATTCACAGGCCAACGAAAGGCAAAACATGATCGCTCCTTTCAGAAGCTTGAAGCTTGGTGTTGCAGTTGGTCGTCATACACAACATCAAGTATAGAGTTACGTCCCATGGTCTAATCCAGGATTCGATAACTTATGCCTTCTATGATTGCCTTATGATTTTTGTTTTGGACTATATATCAAAAATTAAACAAACACGTCATCCCCATACACGACTTCGACGCTAAACAAACTGTTTGGATTGAATATTCTTTTATTCTTTAAGAAAAGATTTGCTTCAATTCTAAACCATGTCATACGACCTTTCAAGACTCAATGACCTACTTGGCCCAAATGCTGTGAATATCCCGCTCATGTCGGCCTGTGCAGGGTCAAACCCGTGTTCTCCAAGCATAGGCCCAGTGTCATAAGCGTAGTAGCCAAAGTTGGGCTGAAATGGGAAAATAACACACGACTCGGGGTACATGGAAATATTTAGGTATTTTTGTCTTACAAGAAATACGCAATTTTCGAGCAAATTGGACCTTGATTGTAACCTCTTTCAGTTGCAGTCCTTTATTGGCGTTCAGAAGTTGTCAGTGTATGTAGACGTGAACGGTTTTATGGATAACATCTTCATAAAATCTAGACAGAGAGGTGTGAAGGTCGAAGGCCACAGCAGCTCAAAAATTAAAATATGCTGCAATGACATATCATGAACACCCATCACTGGGAAAATGTAATGCACTCTACTTCAAATGAAGCAGATTGAAGAAATGTAGGACGTACTGAATGTTAGAAAACTGAAGGTATTATGATCTGCAAGCTCCACACAGTGTTATTATGTATAATGGAACTGATCTGTATACTGTACAAATCTGTCGACAAAAGACAGTATACATTAGAGAATATAATTTGACCAACGACAACGACGTTTCATGGCTCCTTGCTCCTTCAGGACAACGATGTTTCATGGCTTCTTACTCCTTCACGACAACGACGTTTCATGGCTCCCTGCTCCTTCACAACAACGACGTTTCATGGCTCCTTTCTCCCTCACAAGAACGATGTTTCCTGGCTCCTTGCTCCTTCAGGACAACGACGTTTCATGGCTCCTTTCTCCCTCACAAGAACGACGTTTTATGGCTCTTTGCTCCTTCACGACAACGACGTTTCATGGCTCCCTGCTCCTTCACAACAACGACGTTTTATGGCTCCTTGCTCCTTCACAACAACGACGTTTCATGGCTCCCTGCTCCTTCACAACAACGCCGTTTCATGGCTCCTTGCTCCTTCACAACAACGACGTTTCATGGCTCCTTGCTCCTTCACAACAACGACGTTTCATGGCTCCTTGCTCCTTCACAAGAACGACGTTTCATGGCTCCTTTCTCCTTCACAAGAACGACGTTTTATGGCTCCTTGCTCCTTCACGACAACGACGTTTCATGGCTCCCTGCTCCTTCACAACAACGACGTGTCATGGCTCCCTGCTCCTTCAGGACAACGACGTTTCATGGCTCCTTGCTCCTTCAGGACAACGACGTTTCATGGCTCCCTGCTCCTTCACAACAACGACGTTTCATGGCTCCTTGCTCCTTCAGGACAACGACGTTTCATGGCTCCTTGCTCCTTCAGGACAACGACGTTTCATGGCTCCTTGCTCCTTCACAACAACGATGTTTCCTGGCTCCTTGCTCCTTCACAACAACGATGTTTCATGGCTTCTTACTCCTTCACAACAACGATGTTTCATGGCTCCTTGCTCCTTCACAACAACGATGTTTCATGGCTTCTTACTCCTTCACAACAACGATGTTTCATGGCTCCTTGCTCCTTCACAACAACGACGTTTCATGGCTCCTTGCTCCTTCACAACAACGACGTTTCATGGCTCCTTGCTCCTTCACAACAACGATGTTTCATGGCTCCTTGCTCCTTCACAACAACGACGTTTCATGGCTCCTTGCTCCTTCACGACAACGACGTTTCATGGCCCCTTGCTTCTTCACAACAACGATGTTTCATGGCTTCTTACTCCTTCAGGACAACGACGTTTCATGGCTCCTTACTCCTTCACAACAACGACGTTTCATGGCTTCTTACTCCTTCAGGACAACGACGTTTCATGGCTTCTTACTCCTTCACAACAACGACGTTTAATGGCTCCTTGCTCCTTCACAACAACGACGTTTCATGGCTCCTTGCTCCTTCAGGACAACGACGTTTCATGGCTCCTTGCTCCTTCACAACAACGATGTTTCATGGCTCCTTGCTCTTTCAGGACAACGACGTTTCATGGCTCCTTGCTCCTTCACAACAACGACGTTTCATGGCTTCTTACTCCTTCACAACAACGACGTTTCATGGCTTCTTACTCCTTCAGGACAACGACGTTTCATGGCTCCTTGCTCCTTCACAACAACGATGTTTCATGGCTCCCTGCTCCTTCACAACAACGACGTTTCATGGCTTCTTACTCCTTCAGGACAACGACGTTTCATGGCTCCTTGCTCCTTCAGGACAACGATGTTTCATGGCTTCTTACTCCTTCAGGACAACGACGTTTCATGGCTCCTTGCTCCTTCAGGACAACGACGTTTCATGGCTCCTTGCTCCTTCACAACAACGATGTTTCATGGCTCCTTGCTCTTTCAGGACAACGACGTTTCATGGCTCCTTGCTCCTTCACAACAACGACGTTTCATGGCTCCTTGCTCCTTCACAGCAACGACGTTTAATGGCTCCTTGCTCCTTCACAACAACGACGTTTCATGGCTCCTTGCTCCTTCAGGACAACGACGTTTCATGGCTCCTTGCTCCTTCACAACAACGACGTTTCATGGCTCCTTGCTCCTTCACAACAACGACGTTTAATGGCTCCTTGCTCCTTCACAACAACGACGTTTCATGGCTCCTTGCTCCTTCACAGCAACGACGTTTAATGGCTCCTTGCTCCTTCACAACAACGACGTTTCATGGCTCCTTGCTCTTTCAGGACAACGACGTTTCATGGCTCCTTGCTCCTTCACAACAACGACGTTTCATGGCTTCTTACTCCTTCACAACAACGACATTTCATGGCTTCTTACTCCTTCAGGACAACGACGTTTCATGGCTCCTTGCTCCTTCACAACAACGATGTTTCATGGCTCCCTGCTCCTTCACAACAACGACGTTTCATGGCTCCTTGTTCCTTCACAACAACGATGTTTCATGGCTTCTTACTCCTTCAGGACAACGACGTTTCATGGCTTCTTACTCCTTCACAACAACGACGTTTCATGGCTTCTTACTCCTTCAGGACAACGATGTTTCATGGCTTCTTACTCCTTCAGGACAACGACGTTTCATGGCTCCTTGCTCCTTCACAACAACGACGTTTCATGGCTCCTTACTTCTTCACAACAACGACGTTTCATGGCTCCTTGCTCCTTCAGGACAACGACGTTTAATGGCTCCCTGCTCCTTCAGGACAACGACGTTTAATGGCTCCCTGCTCCTTCAGGACAACGACGTTTCATGGCTCCCTGCTCCTTCACAACAACGACGTTTCATGGCTTCTTACTCCTTCACGACAACGATGTTTCATGGCTCCCTGCTCCTTCACAACAACGACGTTTCATGGCTTCTTACTCCTTCACGACAACGATGTTTCATGGCTCCTTGCTCCTTCACAACAACGACGTTTCATGGCTCCCTGCTCCTTCAGGACAACGACGTTTCATGTCTCCCTGCTCCTTCAGGACAACGACGTTTTCTGGCTCCTTGCTCCTTCAGGACAACTACGTTTCATGGCTCCCTGCTCCTTCACAACAACGACGTTTCATGGCTTCTTGCTCCTTCACAACAACGACGTTTCATGGCTCCTTGCTCCTTCACAACAACGACGTTTCATGGCTCCTTGCTCCTTCACGACAACGACGTTTCATGGCTTCTTGCTCCTTCAGGACAACGACGTTTCATGGCTCCTTGCTCCTTCAGGACAACGACATTTCATGGCTCCTTGCTCCTTCAGGACAACGACGTTTCATGGCTCCTTGCTCGTTCAGGACAACGACATTTCATGGCTCCTTGTTCCTTCACAACAACGACGTTTCATGGCTCCCTGCTCCTTCACAACAACGATGTTTCATGGCTCCTTACTCCTTCACAACAACGACGTTTCATGGCTTCTTGCTCCTTCAGGACAACGACGTTTCATGGCTTCTTGCTCCTTCAGGACAACGACGTTTCATGGCTCCTTGCTCCTTCAGGACAACGACGTTTCATGGCTCCTTGCTCCTTTACGACAACGACGTTTCATGGCTTCTTACTCCTTCAGGACAACGATGTTTCATGGCTTCTTATTCCTTCAGGACAACGATGTTTCATGGCTCCTTGCTCCTTCAGGACAACGACATTTCATGGCTTCTTGCTCCTTCACGACAACGATGTTTCATGGCTCCTTGCTCCTTCAGGACAACTACGTTTCATGGCTTCTTGCTCCTTCACGACAACGATGTTTCATGGCTTCTTACTCCTTCAGGACAACGATGTTTCATGGCTTCTTGCTCCTTCACAACAACGATGTTTCATGGCTCCTTGCTCCTTCACAACAACCATGTTTCATGGCTTCTTGCTCCTTCACAACAACGACGTTTCATGGCTCCTTGCTCCTTCAGGACAACGACATTTCATGGCTCCTTGCTCCTTCACGACAACGACGTTTCATGGCTCCTTGCTCCTTCAGGACAACGATGTTTCATGGCTTCTTGCTCCTTCACAACAACGACGTTTCATGGCTCCTTGCTCCTTCACAACAACGATGTTTCATAGCTCCTTGCTCCTTCACAACAACGATGTTTCATGGCTTCTTGCTCCTTCACAACAACGACGTTTCATGGCTCCTTGCTCCTTCAGGACAACGACATTTCATGGCTCCTTGCTCCTTCACGACAACGACGTTTCATGGCTCTTTGCTCCTTCACGACAACGACGTTTCATGGCTTCTTGCTCCTTCACGACAACGATGTTTCATGGCTTCTTACTCCTTCAGGACAACGACGTTTCATGGCTTCTTGCTCCTTCACAACAACGATGTTTCATGGCTCCTTGCTCCTTCACAACAACGATGTTTCATGGCTTCATGCTCCTTCACAACAACGACGTTTCATGGCTCCTTGCTCCTTCAGGACAACGACATTTCATGGCTCCTTGCTCCTTCACAACAACGACGTTTCATGGCTCCTTTCTCCCTCACAAGAACGACGTTTCATGGCTCCTTGCTCCTTCAGGACAACGACGTTTCATGGCTCCTTTCTCCCTCACAAGAACGACGTTTTATGGCTCTTTGCTCCTTCACGACAACGACGTTTCATGGCTCCCTGCTCCTTCACAACAACGACGTTTTATGGCTCCTTGCTCCTTCACAACAACGACGTTTCATGGCTCCCTGCTCCTTCACGACAA